AGGAGCAGGGAACACAACACCTTTTCATGCACCATTCACCCTCCATCCCAACCCACATCCTCTTCCCACTGTGTAGCTGCCCTTCCTCCCCAGCATTTTGGGGTAGAGAGAAGGCACTTTGGATAAAGCTGCTCCACAGAGGCACGAGGCAGCCGGGGGGGTTGCCATGCCCCACAGCACCCCCAGTCTCCTGGGCACAACTCCCCTGTACCCTCATCGTGGTACCTGGACCCCTGGGATGGAGAGAGCCATGCTGGGCAACAGGGTCCTCATTCAGAGAGGGGGTCACACTCTAAAAATATTCTTCTGGATAAATACTCTTGGATGATTGAGAAAACAAAAGGGAAGAAACCAACAGTCTGCCAAAGGTGTATTTGCCCATACACTTTGATAATAACAGGTGTAGGAAAAATGAAAGCAGACAAAAGTCCTAAGTCCACATTACCAGAGACTAGTTCATGGTGAAAGGACAAGCCTTTCTCCCACACATGGCATTTATTTTTCTACAGGTTGCTTCATTCAACAGCAGAAAACATAAGCTAGTCACAGCCCTCCTGCTCCTCTGATATCACCCTACACTTGGAGTGACTTAGTGCTTTTTCAGGTCAACACAAAGAAGAAGGAATTAAACCCCTTATGCACAAGGCAAACGTGTAAGCAAATGCTCCTAAGAAGCAATTCAGAGGAGAGAAATACAAACTTCTCTAATTTAGATCCCCTAAAATTAGGTTCATGGGATTTCCTACACCCTGCCCCTTGGTTTTATTTTCAACTACAACTAAACTTCCCTAGAACAGTTCAAGGATGACATAGTTTATTTATTTTAAATAAGATTAATCATCTTCATTTAAAAATACTAACAGGTCACAGGGAGGAAAGAACTGAACTTGAATTAAGTACAGTCAGTTTTCCTTCTTTCAAGACTTCACATGTTATGAAAAATACATTTTAAATGAATAACATATTCATCGCTGGCAAGTTAAAGAGAAGGTGGACAGTGTGGGGAATAGGATATTTCAAACCTCCCGGGGAAACCCTCAGCAGAAAGCCAAGAGCTTCACAGCGGTGGGTTTCTGGCTGAGCTGAAGTCCTCAGAGCCAACTCCCAGCAAAGGCAGGGACAGCGGCTGGCAGGGACAGTGTGACCACCACAGCCTACATCGGGGCCAAGACACAGCAAGCCCCAGGTGTTTCGGCAGCCATCCCCCCTCCCTGAGATGCTGCTCCAGGGGTACATGCACATAAGGTGTGCTGGGGGGTGGCTGCAGCCACTGCTGTCCTTGACAGCAGAGCAGCAGAAAGAAGAGTCTCACCCCTTTTTTTCCTCCCTTCTTCTTAAGAGCTTGCTGCCTCACAAAGCCCTTAGTCACACTTGATTTTTCCAGTTCCTTTTGCACAAAACACAGAATAACAAAATAAAACGGGGATACGGAGAACAATGAGTTCAACAGATTAATGGACAGGAGCAGCCATCTTCAGCTTTTATAGCCATCAGCCCTGAAGAGCACTCCCTTCCCTGAAGCCTTTGAAATGAGCCTCAGCAGTCCTTGGACCTTGCAGGCAGCTACTGACAAACATGCACCTTCCTTTCTCAACTAAATCCCGAAGATACATCTTCTGGCCGTGCACACGTCAATCTTATCATCATTATTAAAGTTTTATTGGCACAACAATGCAAACTCTGAGCACAATGCATTAACCTTGTAAAAATAACTGAGAGAAGCCAGGTAATGGAAAGAGCAGGGGAAAGCTGGGGGGGGGAAAGAAACACGCAGATCTCTAAGCAGTGCTGAGTCATCACAAAAGGGATTTCCAACCTCTCCTCTCACCCCTCAAAAACCACCTACAACTTCTTGAAGACACCTTGAAAAGTACTGTCCTCCAATCCAACTCACTGACTGAAATTCCTTCCCCTAAAAGACAACACGATTCTGTTCTACTATGGCATATTCAAAAAGCGGAAGGGGAAAAAAAAATAATATTACTATGTCCAGGAAAGTAGGAAAGGTTACACTCAGCAGACAAGGACTCCTATTTTCACCATAGCAACAAGCCTATTTATAATATGGCCTACCTGCATCAAAGAGCAGCCACAAGAAGCTAAATGCAAGTCTAGTGGTACATTCAAGCACTAAGATGAAGAAGCAGCTCACATAAGCATGTCAATGAAATGCTTCCAATTACATTACATGCACAATTATTAGCATTTACTCTGAACCTCCTTTCTTGTTTGTTGTTTTTTTTTATTTTTTTTACCCAGGTAAGAGTAGCAGGGATGGGGGGTGGCATTACAAAAGGTTCAAGTACAAGGGAGCATCAAAAAGAGGCAATCCCAGCGACTTGGCTTTTAAAAGGGGAGACTTCACCGAGAGGCATTACAGGAGGGGATTGCTAACTAGGACGGGAATAGGAAGTTACTAATTCTTAGTCTGCTTTTAAATGGAGTGGAAAATACACATCGATAACCACTGTTGTAGTCTTCAATTTGCCAACAGAGAGTACATACAGTCTTCACACCTCAAACACCTGATAAACCTCCCCATATCTGAGAGAGAAAAATAGCCAGCTACTGGAAACTATTATCTGACTAATAATGGTATTCCCAAGAGTAACGCCCAGGTGGGAGAACACACCTGCATCCATCTCCAGAGGAGTACAAAATACTCCAAGGACAGCCATAACTCATACAGGAAGACTCAGCCTGATCACCGCTCAATTCTAAAGTGGTATCCTGACTGATCTGTCTTAGTATGATGAACACTATTTAAAAAAAAAAAAAAAAAAAATTACACTAAGCCACTCTAAGAATCCCACATTCAGTCTGCAAGCGCCTGCTTGCTGCTGCTTCTTTTTAAGTGCCTACATGGAAGAGCAGCTGCCTGAAGAACGGCTGGCTTTTAAAAGAAGTGGAGGGAAGATCTTAAAAATACTCTTTATCTACAAGAGGAGTGGCAATCATTTCACTTGTTCAGGTAGGAGACTGAGGAGGATTGCTTGGTGGCTGGGAAGTGGACTAGAACAAAAAGACTCAAGCAGCCAGCTGATACATAAAAGGAATTTAAGCCATTTATTTCTGGTATTTAAAATAGATATGGAAGCTTTTCTTAAGCAAGAACCCAAACAGGTCACAGCAGAGATTTGTCGCATGAACCAGAAACAGGGAAGGCCATCTCAGACATTCCCATTGCAAAGTTGCCCACCAAATCTGACACTAGTTCAACATACTTGAAAGACCAACTTAAGAGTGGCTGAAAACAGTCACATATTTCTAGTTCATGGTTACGTGAAAAATGATGCAAATAAGAACAACATGAGGGAGCTGAATTCCCAAGTGTCTTCAGGCACCTACCAACTTATAAGGGAATTTGACCTTTTTAAAAAAAAAAAAAAAAAAACAAAACAAAACACACACACACAAACTGAAACAGGGGAAAGGTACAGAAAAACAAGAAATGGCTTACTCAGTCACAAAAATAAGTTCAAGATAATTCCTGCTTGAAAGAGAATGCACCAAACACTAAACAAACACTTTATCCTGCAAGCCTCTCTCCTGCTGAAGACATTTACAAGACACTGATTCTGTTTTGCAAAGTATTGCTTCATAACATCTCACTTCCACTAGCTTCTCTCAAACTTCCATGGAAGTCAGTGGGAAGTACGGGGGGATGGATGGCAAGAACGAGTGGGTACGCTGTCAGAGGGTTTTCTCCACTGGTGAAGCACATCTAATGCTGCATGACATCGGACTGGCCTGTAACAGAGCCACCCCTCCTTCCCAAAGCTTCAGCAAGCACCTGAGTGGGATTCGGAGAGACCAAGCTACATGCTACTAAATGAACAACTTCACATTCAGTCCATGCAATGAAAGAAATGCAGAACTGAGGCTCTGGCTGAAGCCTTAGTATGCTTCATATAGTTTTCTATTTTTTTATGCCATGCTTCTACCTTGACTATGTGTAGAATTTAGCACCTTAAAAATCAGTTCTGGAATTAATTAAAATAAACTCATACAAACTCTTGTGCAATTGCTAAAATCAGGCCACATTTCCATGATGTTAATCACACATCTGCAGTACCAGATCATCCAGCATCTATCCAGTTAGGGTGTGGGCACTCAATTATGTTCTTGTCAAATTAACAAGAAACCATGGTATAGACTTTATGTCAGTGGCACGAGGCCAGCTGATACCTGATCTGGCATGAAGTCTGCCAGGGTGCTTCGGGTCCAAAAGATTTATAAAAACAGAAACTGGTAGAGAGGTTTTATACTAGTTCAATACTTTGCTTCCTCAGGCTGCAGTAACCTGGCTCCCTAAAACCTGATTAGCTAGTCTACCAAGCCAAAAACTCAGTTTAGCATTAGCTATGCTGTCATTTCCAGCTCTACACACATTAAGACAACAATACAGACCACGGATTTAAGAAAGTGTACAGAGTTGCACTTAGTTGAATATGCTAATTTCTATATGGAATCTTTATGTAAACAGAAGCTACTTTGTGTCTAGATCACTAGAACATTTGAATGTAGTTGTTCCTATTGTACAGCTGGGGAAACTGAGACAAACAGCAATTAAAGGAGATGCCTGAGGTCATGTCTTAGGTCTAGCAATCAGCAGAGGAATCTCGATTCTCAACTCCTACTTGGATTTTTTAACCACTAAACCACGATCCTTCCCAGTTCAAATACAGTTTCAAGTTCAAGGATTCACAAAAAAAAAAAAAAAACAAACACATGAGCAGACTTGGTTAGATGTATATACATGCTGCAACAGTTCTCAAAACACAAGTAACCTTCTAAAAAAAAAATCTAACTGTATTTTTAAAAAACTGTCACTGCAATACAGTCTTAGCTGCAGCCTGAACATTACTCCACCAGAGAAGCAAAGTAAATACAACAACAGTGACATCTAAGTACACAGGCCGATTACAGCTTTACTTTCAAAAGAGCTTTGATTGATCTTTTTTGATAGACCTGAAATAAATTAAACTAGATTGACTCACTTGAGAACGGACTGTAATCCTTTAGTCAGATCCCGGAGAACTCAAACCAAACCAGCTGTTAATTTAGGCTTTATAAGATAAAGCATGAGAAATCCAACCTGATGTACCCCAGAGCAACGGCTTACATCATCTCTGCAAGCAATCAACTTGCTGCTTCTTTTAGGAACTAATCAGTGCTCTCTAGCATGTGGGTGCCAAACTTGTTTTCCACCCCTCCAGCAGACTCTGCAGCCAAAGTAGGAGGGAGAAAGAAAGAGCGAGGGACAAGAGGGTGTAATTTAAAAGATTCAGCTGTTGACTTTATGAAACACACAAAAAAAAAAAAAAAAAAAAAAAAAAAAAAAAAAAAAAAAGGAACCTCACAACAACCCACTTACAATAACCATTTCAATTCAAACAATTGCTGGATCTCGGTCGGTAATAAACTGCCCAAATCAACACTAACAACTTAGAAGGGGAGGTAGAGGGGAGGGAACTGGAGCACTCACCCGTTTGGGAAACCAGATGCAAACAGACCAGGAGAGGGTCAGTTATAACCTTACACGAAACAACAAAGTAGGCAAAATAAAAAGTGGGATTTTCAGTTCTGTACCATCACTGTTCTGATGGGATTCTTGTTTGGGGTTTTTTATTTTGTTGGCTATTAAGACTTTCAGATTTATCTTGTACTCCTATCTGAGATTTAGTCTGCAAAAACCATTGCTTCCTGGAACGCTCTGATTGCTGAAACTAAGGGGATCACACTAGAAATCCAATTCAAGGAATTGTGGTACTTTCAAACTGGTTTTGTCTACCAAGGAAAAAACAGCAATGAGGTTTCTCAGGTGAAGGCAGCAGAAACTGTTCTTTACAATAATATCAATATAATATATATTGATAAAAAGGGACAGGCAACAGGCAGGAACACTGCTCTGAAATCATTCATAGAAGGTTCTAACACAATTCAAAGGAGAAAAAAAAAGAATCTGCATAAGAAAAGTTGTGACTTCTAATCATAAATCCTATCTGAAGGGAAAACATGGAGACAAAGTTTGAATTACACCAGACACTTGCTAAATCCTTGGCAATAACACCTCCAACAAGGAGACTTACTCCCACAAGAAGATGGAGTGCCCTAGCCAGGTACTTCTGGGAGGGAGCACAATGCCATCCGTGTTAAACACATGAAAGCTCTTCTCCCTGAGAAAGCCACAGCTCTACAGAAGATGAAGCTGAGGATTACTCTAGGTGCTCACGGTGGCATTTGCAGCCTGTGTGTCAAGAGGACTACTCTTGAGGCAGCTTTGTAGAGACTGGGAAAGGAGAGGAAAGAAAAAGCATTGCAAGTATCTTGGGGCTTGAGCAAATCAGATCTGTTAAAGAAAGTAGTTTGTGAGAAAATACCCCATCACCCAATAATTCCAGTAATCTTTGGTTTACTCCAGTTAAATCAAATTAATTTTAGTGAACTCCAAGTTGCATGTTCACTGATTAAGGTAACAGTTAGCTCTTCCAACTACTGGAAAGGGATGTGGCAGGGTCTTCTTAAGACCTGTAATGCTGTTTTATACTCTTATCCCTTGAGGTAACAATGCCATGCAGAAACATCAAGCTGATGCTACCTATTATCAAATACAATACCTGGATACATTTTTTTCTGGTTGAGAATATAACTGAATACAGTAAAACACCTCTCTGGTGCCTACTGACCAGCCCCAGCAGCCCTGTTCAGCACAGATCAGAAACTAAGTCACAACACAGGTCTAGTAAGCAGTGTTCCACCAAGGAAATCATGGACAAGGAAGAGGAGACTCTAAATGCCCTAAGATACTTTTGGAGGCTACCCAGGAATAGCAGAGTTGGCCTCGGATGCTAACTTACACTATGCAGTTTTATCCAGGAAAACAAGTAGATACAAGTAAACAGCATTGCCTCACACATGTCCCAGAGGCGCTGCATACTTCAAACATGCAAGTACTCAGTCAACTTCTTAGCACTAACAGACTCCAGCTGTTCGGTGGCTTCAGGCTTTCCCAGCCCCCTGCCCTGTCCCTCACCAGCTGAAAAAAAGCAACACTACCAGGTAGGGCATGGGCACACACTATCTGGCCATCAAGAAAGTGGTCCTACCTTTGACAATCGTAAATCTCTACGTGATAAATGGAAGCCTATATTCAGCTCATTGGCTTTAATATCTAGGTCTGTCCACATCTCCTCCTTTCAAGATTTAAATCAACTAAATCACTTTATGTCTCACTTTCCCCACCTGTAAAATACAACAAGCACCACACCTCAGGCTGTCCCCTTGGGGAGGCTGGCAAGCTCTTAGGACTTCAACCAGATAAACACGGTGAGATACCTGGCTCTCCATGCCATCTTTTACCAGCTCAGTTTTGATTCATTTAATCAAGCTCCAACGGTTAATTTTAAAATCTTAGCTCAATTTTACATATATTAAGCAGCCAGCAAACATGAAGGGGGGAAAGAGAAGGATGGTTGAGGCAGACACAATACATAACTTGGCTTCATTTGCAGTTTTGTGTAACTTCCTGCATAGCTGAAGTAAGATCCAGCAAACACTCCAAGGGAAAATAATAAATAACCAGTAGAGAAGGGAAGGGAGATATGTGTCCACATAGCTCCTTCTCTACCATTTTTCTTTATCTACCCACAAACTATTCCCTCTGACTAACTTTGACATGGACACACATCTAGCACAGCATGAAACCAACAGCTTGCAATACAGCTGCAGGACTACACACCCACTCATAGCATGTAGAAGAACCTCTAACAAAGCCCAAACCTTGGGACAGGTTCAGAAACCCTTAGGCCTTGAGCTAAACAGGGTCAACTTATATCTTCAATTAGGAAGAGCATAACTCTGTCTTGTTGCACCCCAGCATTAGCCTAAGCCTTACTGATTCAAGACTTATTTCCTTGAGATTCTGGGGCTCAGAGAAAAAAAAAAGTTCAATTCACCATCTCCTTAGGAGACAAAGGCACATCCACACAGACACATTTTACCTTATTTCTAGGGAATCTGACCTATCCAGAGACATGTATTCTAAATAGGACCTTGCTTACTGCTCAGGGAAGCAATTTGAAAGAAATAAAATCAAAAATTTAAAAATTGAGGGGTTTTTCCTCTAATTCCAGGGCAACAACAATTTAAGAAATTATAACCTATGTAACAAGACTGCTACTGTTGCCTTTGTGGGAACCACATTTGTTCACAAAGTGGGAGTTTGGAGACCGGGTTTATAACTATGTGAAGTCTGCAATCCAGAGTGGCTGACAACATTAAATTAGAGTTACAGATCACAAAATCATAATGAATCCGTCACACAGTACCATCCAGCAACTGAGACATCACTGCATTATACAGATTGGCACAGGCAGTTTGTTGTGCAAGAGGGGTTGCAAAAAAGTTTGATGCAAACTTTATACTCTTTTATTTGTCTAAGAGCAGTGCCCAAAGGCACCACCAAAGAACAGAGTCCTTTTGTGCTAGGTACTGTACAAACAACAGAGTGAGAAAGACTGACCCTGCCCAAAAAACAGATGTGAGTTAAAAAGGGAGGCACTGAAAAGGGAAACTGTTTAAATGAGACACCTGTGAAATGCAACATAGATGCTAAGCAACATGCTGCCTGAGTGGGTAGCAAACTGACAACTAGGTAAGACAGAAACCCAGTTTCCTGGATCTCCTCCCCAGAGACTGATCCAGGTCTCAGTTAAAACAAGGACCCCTGAGCAAGCATCCCAGGAACTTCCCTACAAGGTAACTGAGTACTTCCACACCCAATCTCCAGCCTTCCCAAGCTGGTGACTATAAAATAACAAGAGAAACAATCTAGCTGACTTTTTTTTCTGTTGGATAGTTGGGTCCCTCCCCTTGCTGGGGGAATTAACTCCTGTTTCTAGTACCGGAGGACAGAGCATCAGGTTTCAGAAATCATGGCACTTTTAGCTCCAGGAAGAGCTGCTGGCAGCTGAGACATAAAAATTGCTCATCTCAGGCTTGTGGTCTGAGTTAACATTTGGGGGTATTTCCACAGACAAACAGATAAGGAGGGAATGTTTCCCTGGCAGATTTATTAATCTGTAAATGCTGGCTGAAGACCCTGAGCTGTTTAGAGTGGTGGAGTCCCAGGGAGACGGATTAGCAGAAGAAGTGTAGATGAGGTGGCCATGGGTGCATAATGCTAATTAAATATAGCCTGCAATTTATAGAATAGGTTTGTATATATAAAGCTACATTTCTCACCACTAATCACAAAAGATCAAGTAAAATCACCTTCTACAGCACATGGGGGGGTTTATACACTTATTAATTGGAATGAACCATCAGAAGGTGTTTACTGTGCCTATAAACCGTGCCCCCACTCTCAGGAAAGTGATGCTACATCACCGACAGACTATGGTCCTGATGCCCACAGAGCATAGCAAGCTATAAAACAAAAATAAAATATTCAAGCAGGGGAGAATTCCTTGCTATCAAAAGAAACAGGCATGCAGCAAAATAGTAGAGAACAGACAACAAATTTCCTCTTCTTGATGCCACTAATTTCATGCTTATCAGTAAGATAAATCATCCTGTTGCTTTTTTTTCTGTGCAGTCTTTTGTTTTCCAAGCCCAGGGAAATACATTATGTCACAGTATAGCCTGCACCACCCCAACCCATGGGCCCCAGCTATACATGGGCACCTTGATCACTGCAGTGTGTTTTCAAGAAATCTTGTGTCCTTTCTACAGTCACCTGTGCTTTGCTGGACATAATTCATTATACACTAGATACAGAAAGTCTCCTCTACTCTTCAGAAAAGCGTCAAGCAGAAGCCAAAGCCTTCTAAAAGGTGTTTATGGTCACACCACTGCTTAAACTAGAAAGCACCATTAGTTCTTTATTAAACAACACAAATAATGAATTGATAGCTTTAGTTCTTGAAAATACTATCATCGAGAGTTTGACGCAATTAGGAGAGATGTACAGTGAAACACTGTCCTTCAAAAGTTAATCTGCCATTAGGAAGGATCCTG